TAACACACAGTACTGGTGAAGCTTCTAAAACATTGTGTTAATAGTGGCCGACCAGCGGTCACTTCCAGCCCGGAGTATGTTGTGACGAGTCGGGGAGAACGGCCCCGCCCGGAGTATGTTGTGATGAGTCGGGGAGAACGGCCCCGCCCGGAGTATGTTGTGACGAGTCGGGGAGAACGGCCCCGCACTCACTAAGCGTTCGCCATATATACGAGAGAGAGAGTTCAGTAATATATAATGTTGTTACCATGGCAGTTAACTCATTAACACCTTTGGTGATCGTTAATATTACTTCACCTGTTATTATGTTAGTGAAGCAACATTACAAGCGGCAGTATTATGGTACCCAGGACGATGGGGTTAGGTTAGGTTAGGTTTCCGTGAATCTATTCATTTCTATTCAATTTTATTATCTACAGGACCACAATTTTCTAAAAGATATTAATACATAAAAGGTTTTACTATTCAATAATTTACCTTATTTACTGTACCTTATGGCCACCCACTAAAGGTGGCCACGGCAAGGGAAGGAGGCCTGTGGCCCGTGTAGGGTATATGTTTTCAAGGAAGGACTGTGTCGAAGCGCAATCCTGGTCCTATTTCAACCCCACAAAGAAATGTAATATAAATCACACACACACACACACACACACACACACAATCTGTACAGGTCACAGGGAACACAGGTTGGTGTGCAGTAACAGGTGTGAACACTGAACACACCTCCTCTGAACAAGAAGGATCACAATCAACCAGGACAAACAACACTTGATTGATTGAACAACACTTCCTCCCTGCAACCTTAGGCGGGGGGGGCGGCGTCAGTGATGCCAACACCTACACGCAACACACCCTTATAATATAACACTATAACCATATACGAAAGTTAATATCCGTCTTGGTAATATTACATCGATTATTCGTTAAATTTAATGTATATTTTGAAAGTTTGAGACAAGTTTTGAGGAGGTAGTGGAAGGCTGGGAGTTTGTTTCAGCTTGGTAACACTACGGGGCCTTTGTGAGTGCCGTAATTTCATTAATTTCTCGACAGCTCCGCTGGGAAATCATACGGAGACTGTTTTATAGGCAGAGAGAGAGAGAGAGAGAGAGAGAGAGAGAGAGAGAGAGAGAGAGAGATTTTCACCTATACAGTAAGAACACAGACAAATTCTGTTTAACTACCAAACAATATCTCCTTAAAACAAGAATAAAACAAGTAAATTAAACCAAAACATTCAAAATAAAACACAAACTAATGAAGATAAAACAGAGTGAACAAATTCAGACCAACAGAAGAGCGTGTCTCTCTCTAAGTGGCGGCGAACTCCACAATGTGTAACCTCTCACCAAGTGCCATGAATCTTCAGCTAACTATGTTTGTACAGGAGGTCAGCCTGGGTCAGCACGCGGTTAGTACACGTGTTTGGGGGTGTGCGGTGAATGAAGGGGGGAGAGGTGGGTGTGTGGTGGGCGGGGAGGGAAGGTCTGTGGTGGAGGTACTCGAGGGAGGGAGGGTGTATGGTTTGAGGTACAGGTGAAAGATACCCCTTCACCAGAACCACAGCCGAGATACATAGAGACCTCAGAATAAAACCCATCAACCAGCAGCTGCACAGTGCACACCCTGGCCAGCAGTCTGGCAAAAGATAGAACGATCAGAGCAAGAACTCCTTCAAAGACTCACACCAGATAACGACAACAACCATACATGGTTCCCAAAAAGTTACCAAATCTCAAAAGGTCCATTACCACCCCAGATCTATACGGCCAGGCAATAGACTACCTCCCTGAACCAGCATCCGCCAGTAGGGTCGGCGGAATATGAAATAAGGCCCTTAAAACACCCATATATGGGACAGGGTAGGATGTCTAGTGCCTGTACCGACAGACAATAACTAACCCATGACACAACCCTAACACACTATTAGCTTAGCTAGGCGGTCAGCCCGCCCTCTCTTACCTCCTCCTGAAATTCTTCAATTTCCGAACTATAACTTCCTTCCCTCACCTCTAATCTTCTTTCACCCCTCCTTTCCTACAAAAAAAAAGGGAGGGAGGGAGGGTGTGTGCTTGAAGGGGGGAGGGAGGGAGAGTGGGAAGGTGTGTGGTAATGAACAACATGGGTAGAGGATGTGTGGTGATGGGTAACGGGCGGTGCTGTGGTGTAGAACCCATGTAGGTAATGGGTGTACCGGGTCGTGGCAGAGGTTGTATGGGCCACTTCCGGTCAATATGGTGGCCAGGTGAGGGCCAGACTGTACGTGTGGCCAGTGAACACACGTGGCCTGGTGTTACCTGAGGCAGTGTCTCTTGTGTACAACACAGAAAGTGACGTAAACTGATGCTGGGAATAACTGGGTTAGTCTTGAGACACACCAACAGTCTTAACCCAGTTACTGTAACAGTCTTAACATTATTCCCTGGAAATTAATGTTTTTTCCTCAAAATTTGAGGAAATATTTTTTTTTATTCTCAAATAAATTCTTACACTATTACGGGTCTGAGATAAACAACGGCCTTCGTTAATGAAGTTCAAATTAACATCTGTACTTTTTAACAATTTACTCCTCCTTCTCCTCCTCCTGTACCTCCTCCTCCTTTCTCCTCCTCCTCTTCCTCCTCCTCCTCCCTCCTCCTCCTCCTCCTCCCTCTTCCTCCCTCCTCCTCCACCTTCTCCTCCTCCCCCACCCCACTCCTCTACCTCCTCCTCTTCCTCCTCCTCCTCTTCCTCCTCCTCCTCCTCTGACCTCCTCCTCCTCCTCCTCCTCCTCCCACCTCCCATCTCCTCCCTCCACCTCCCACCTCCTCCTCCTCCTCTGACCCTCCCTCCTTCTCCTCCCTCCCCTCCACTCCCCACTCCTCCTCCTCCTCCTCCTCCCTCCTCCTCCATCTCTGCTCCTCCCTTCACTCCTCCTCCCTCTACCCTTCCTCCTCCTCCTTCACCTCCTCCTCCTCCTCCTCCTCCTCATCTCCTCTACCTCCTCCTCCTCCTTCATCTCCTCCTCCTCCTCTGCGGTCTCCTCCTCCTCCTCTCCTCCTCCTCTACCTCCTCCTCCTCCTCCTCCTTCTCCTCCTCCTCTTCCTTATTTTTTTTTACATCTGCTTCTAATTTATTTATTCTCCTACTTCTCCTCTTCCCCTTTTAGTTGATCTTAGCGTTTTCTCTCTCCGTCATGTTCTCTTCCTCTTCCTTATCTCTCCCGTCATTACTGTTATCTGTGGACCTCTTTACCTGTCTCGTCGCCGTCACCTTTGTTTCATCTTTCTGTCAATATTTTTCACGTTGGCAACTCCTTCTCCTCCTTCTCCTTCTCTTCCTTCTTCTCTTCCTTCTTCTTTTCCTTCTCCTCCCTCCCCCTCTCCTCCTCCCCCTCTTCTTCCTCCTCCTCCTCCTCCATTCATCACTTGAGTCATTTATCTGAGCTATTAATCATTTCTTTCATTCCCTCTTTCGTCATCCTCTCATTCCTTCTTCCATCTATATTCATTCTTCTGCTTCGTTGAGTATACTGAATATATGAGTGACCTTAATATTAGACAGACAGACAGACAGACAGACAGACAGACAGACAGACAGACAGAGACCCCCCCCCCTTGATCTCTCCTCACGCTCACAACTTGACGCCCAACCAAAACTTTTTATTTAATTTTTCTCTTGACTGAAGCGAATCTAATTGGTCAAAAGAAACACAAATTACTGAAAAAAGCAAAACCCGTCTGGAGTTGACCTTCTCAATAGCGAACACCCTCTGTATAGCGGATTTCTTTGAGATAAAATTTTGATTATTGATTTGTGTGTAATAATAATAATAATAATAATAATAATAATAATAACAATATTAATAATTAACTGTTTATTGAAAGAGCATATGTATGTGTGTGTGTGTGTGTGTGTGTGTGTGTGTGTGTGTGTGTGTGTGTGTGTGTAATATATAATAATAAACGGTTTATTAATAGAGTTGCAGCCGGTGGCTGAAAATATACAAACTTACATTTGATTTAGACATAATGATATAATATGCGATGAATACATTTACAGGGCTGTACAGTACATAAATCAGGAGTTGTTTATTATTTTAACAATAGATGGGATGGTGCTGTTCTAATATCTGTCGGTGCGGGCTCTTATGGGCTGAATTTTGTTGTAGTGGCGGACTGCCCGAGTTGGGTGGGTGGCTGCAGGAGGTGGCGATGGCGAGGGTGGTGCAGTAGTCCACGGCCAAACCTTTCCAGTGCTTGGTGGTGGAGAGAGCGTTGGCGTAGCCGGAGTATTCTGCGCCGAGCATGATTCTGCAGGCCCTTTTCTGTTGAGAGAAGACGACCAGGCTGGTGACGCATACGTTAGTTTGGGGAGAATAAAGGCGTTGTAGATGGTCCTCAGCTCTGGCGTGGGTGTCCCAAGTGACCTAAGTCTTCGTAGCATGTAGAGACGGTACGAGGCTGCCTTGACTGTGTTATTTACGTGGGCCTTCCAGTCAAGTTTGTTGTCCATAGTTACACCCAGTAGTTTGGCAGACTGCACCAGCTGTGTGTGTGTGTGTGTGTGTGTGTGTGTGTGTGTGTGTGTGTGTGTGTGTGTGTGTGTGTGTGTGTGTGTGTCTGTGTCTGTGTGTGTGTGTGTGTGCGTGCGTGCGTGCGTGCGTGTGGTGTGTGTGTGTGTGTGTGCGTGCGTGCGTGCGTGCGTGTGGTGTGTGTGTGTGTGTGTGTGTGTGTCTGTGTGTCTGTGTGTGGTGTGTGTGTGTGTGTGTGTGTGTGTGTTAGTGGTGTCTGTGTGTGTGGTGGTGGTGTCTGTCTGTGTGTGTGTGTGTGTGTGTGTGTGTGTGTGGTGTGGGGTGTGTGTGTGTGTGTGGTGTGTGTGTGTGTGTGTGTGTGTGTGTGTGTGTGTGTGGTGTGTGTGTGTGTGTGTGTTTGGTGTGTGTGTGTGTGTGTGTGTGTGTGTGTGTGTGTGTGAAACTACACTACGGTGATTTGTTTTATTCTGATAAATGTGTTATAGGGATGTCGTGCCGTGTCTGCCGTGCCGTGTCGCGCCGATGCCGTGCTGTGCCGTGCCGTGCCGTGCCGTGCCGTGCCGTGCCGTGCAGTGCCGTGCCGTATCGTGCATCGTGCCGTGCCGTGCCGTGTCGTGCCGTGCAGTGCCGTGCCGTGCCGTGCAGTGCGTGTCGTGCCGTGCCGTTGTGCGTGCAGTGCCGTGCCGTGCCGTGCCGTGCCGTGTCGTGCCGTGCCGTACTTGCGTGCCGTGCCGTACCTTGCCGTGTTGCTGTTATGGGATCTCCATAGTTCAGGAAGATCTTAACTCATCGTTAGTACTTGTACGTTCTGGTCACCTGACGAGACGAATGTCTTACTCTGGTCAAGTCAAATCTCTACCTTCAGATTTCATTCATGGTCAGGTTAGGTTAGATTAGGTCAGGTCAGGTCAGGTCAGGTGTCAGGTCAGGTCAAGTCGGTAAAGATGATTAAGCTAGGTTGGTTAGGTCAGGTTGGGTAAGTTAGATTAGGTAGGTTGGGTCAGGTCAGGTCAGGTCAGGTCAGGTCAGGTTAGGTTAGGAGGTAAGTTAGATTAGGTTAGGTTGTTTCTTCAAACATTTCCCTGTGTGAGTATTCTACTCTCTCTCTCTCTCTCTCTCTCTCTCTCTCTCTCCCATCAGTAAACACTATGAGTTATCTCCTTGAGTCACCATAGTCCGCTAGAACACTCCGGGAAGCCAGAATTAAAGGCCAAGTTATCGTGTTATTAATCCAGGTCTATGGAGGGGCGCCATCGGTGGCTGTCTGATCAGGCGTGATATACTTCTGCTGAGTGTGTGGAGGGCGGAGGAGGGAAGAGGAGAGGAGGAGGATGAGGAAGGGGAGGAAGAGGAGAAGAGGAGGAGGAGGAGGTGGAGTGAGGAAGGATATAACACTCACCATCCTACCCCACGCCACCACCACACCCCACCACCACCGCCTCATCACCACCGCTGTCACCACCACCACACCCTCACACCACTCACCACCACCCCCCACCACCACTATACCACCACCTTCACACCACCACCACCACCACCACCATGTCACCACCACCACCCTGTCACCACCACGCCACCACCACCACCACCACCACCACCACCGCCACCACCGCCATCATCACCACCACCACCACCACTTCACCACCACTCCGCTGTCACCACCATCATTACCACCTCCATCAGTTAATCTTACCTGTGTTTACCGTCACTTGTGTCCTTGTTATTCTCACCACACGTTAACAGGAGGTGAGGGGTGAGGTGAGGGTGCCAGGAGGGAGGTGTGGGAGGGAGGGTGCCAGGAGGGAGGTGTGTGGGGGGTGAGGGGAGGGTGCCAGGAGGAGAGGTGTGGGGTGAAGAGGGTGAGAGAGGTGCCTGCCAGGAGAGAGGTGTGGGGTGAGAGGGAGGGTGCTGCCAGGAGGGTGTGTGGGAGGTGAGAGGGTGCCAGGAGGGAGAGGTGTGGGGTGAAGAGAGGAGGGTGGTGAGGGGTGCCAGGAGGAAGTGTGGGGTGAGGAGGTGAGGTGAGGGGTGCCAGGAGGGAGGGGTGTGGGGGTGAGAGAGGTGCCAGGAGAATGTGGGGTGAGAGAAGGGGGTGCCAGGAAGGAGGTGTGGGGTGAGAGGGGAGGGGTGCCAGGAGGGGTGTGGGGTGAGAGGAGGGTGAGAGGAGGTGCCAGGAGGTGTGGGGTGAGAGGGAGGGGTGCCAGGAGGGAAGGTGAGGGGTGGGGAGATGCCAGGAGGAGGTGTGGGGTGAGAGAGAGGAGGGTGAGAGGTGAGGGGTGCCAGGAGGAGAGGTGTGGTGAGAGGGAGGAGGGGTGCCAGGAGGGGGAGGTGGGTGTGGGGTGAGAGGAGAGGGGTGCCAGGAGGGGAGAGGTGTGTGGGGTGAGAGAGGGAGGGAAGCCAGGAGGAGAGGGTGTGTGGGGTGAGGGGGAGGGGTGGGAGGAGGAGGGGTGAGAGGGAGGAGGAGTGCCAGGAGGAGGTGTGGGGTGAGAGGGAGGGGTGCCAGGGGAGGGAGAGGTGTGGGGTGAGAAAGGAGGGGAGGGGTGCCAGGAGGGAGGGAGAGGTGGGGGTGAGAGGAGGGGGTGCCAGGAGGGTGTGGGAGGGGGTGCCAGGAGGGAGAGGTGTGGGGTGTGAGAGGGAGGGTGCCAGGAGGAGGGAGAGGTGTGGGGGGTGAGAGAGGGAGGGGTGCCAGGAGGAGGAGGTGTGGGGTGAGAGGGGAGGTGTGCCGGAGGAGGGTGAGGGGGTGAGAGAGGGAGGGGTGGGAGGGAGGGTGTGGGGTGAGAGGGGTGCCAGGAGGGAGAGGTGTGGGGTGAGAGGTGAGGGGTGCCAGGAGGGAGAGGTGTGGGGTGAGGGGTGGGTGCCAGGAGGGAGAGGTGGGGTGAGAGGGGAGGGGGCCAGGAGGGAGAGGTGGGGAGAGGTGAGGGGTGCCAGGAGGAGAGGTGAGGTGTGTGAGGAGGGAGAGGAGGGAGAGGGTGAGGTGTGAGAGGATAGGTAATTAGTCAGTGTCACTGCATCGGTCGTTTGTCATGGTGTAACGAGGCAATCCAACCATATGCTGAAGTTGATCCATGATGTGAGCCGGAGGAAGGAGAGAGAGAGAGAGAGAGAGAGAGAGAGAGAGAGAGAGAGAGAGAGAGAGATTACCAGTATCCTGTTTCAAGAATTTAAACAAAGTGCATTGTGACCATCCTTTAACCCTCTCCCCCCCACACACTATACTATTCATTACCGCAGCAACGAAAACACAACACAATTTGCATGGAATTTTACCTCGCCTGTCTTCCCTCCCTCTCTTCCCCACCATCCCTCTCTCCCCCACCCTCCCTCCCTCCTGCCTCACCTCCGTTTCCTCCTCCTCAACCACCCCTGCACCCCCCACCTTCCCCAGAACACTGTAAACCCATGAAAAAGTTTAATTAGCTGAATTAATTCAGTTTGTCTCCTGGCCCTAACCTACCAACCCACCTGTTTCTCCCACCCCCCCCCATTCCCCCACCCTCTCCCCCACCTCTTCCTGACCCTTCCCCACCTCTCTCCCCAATCTTCCCCCACCTCCCCTGACCCCCACCCTCTCCTTGACCCCTCTCTCCCCACCCTCTTCTTGACCCTCCCCCACCCTCTCCCTTGACCCTTCCCCCACCTCTCTTCCCACCCTTCAATTCTCTCCCCACCCTTCCCCACCCTTCCCACCTCTCCCCCACTCCTCTCCCCCCACCCCCTCTCCCCCCACCCTCTCTCTTAACAATAGGACAAAACAATGGGTTTCACCTGATAAGCAATTAGGCATTTTAGTGTGCTTGTTAGGGGTGTGACCTCCCTTGTGTATAAGGTAAGAGAGAAGGAGGGTGGTGGTGGTGTACCCGAGGCTGTTGCTTGGTAGAAGGGGAGCGGCCGCCCAGTTGATACAACACTCACCTCCTGTCCCAAGGGTCACTGGTTCTCGCCCGGGGCACCCACAGTCGACCTACCTGTAAATGGATACTAGACTTTAAAGATAGGAAATTGAAGGCTATCGAGTGCCGTGCCCACTCCATTTTTTCCCTGTGTATAAAGACTTAGTATTCGGTGTGTGGCATCTGTACTGCTCTCCATCAGCTGCAAGACCTTTGGGACGCACTTACAGGTGTTTACAATACTGTAGTTTGCTTCTGTTTATATCTTTTTTACACTCAAGTGACATTATAACCAGAGAGATCTGTACTCTCTCACGTACCAAGACTGATGAGGGATCTACTCAGAGTAAAAGATGATATACCTTAGTTGTTGTAGTGTAGGAGAGGTACAGGTGCAGGTACAGGTACAGGTGCAGGTGCAGGTACAGGTGCAGGTACAGGTGCAGGTGCAGGTACAGGTGCAGGTACAGGGACAGGTACAAGTGCAGGTACAGGTGCAGGTACAGGGACAGGTGCAGGTACAAGTGCAGGTACAGGTGCAGGTACAGGGGACAGGTGCAGGTGGGGACAGGTGAGAGTGCAGGTACAGGGACAGGTGCAGGTACAGGGACAGGTGCAGGTACAGGTGCAGGCACAGGTACAGTGCAGGTACAGTGGGTGCAGGTACAGGGACAGTGCAGGTAGGGACACAGGACAGGTGCAGGTACAGTGTACAGGGCAGGTACAGGTACAGGTACAGGACAGGTGCAGGCAGTGCAGGTACAGGTGCAGGTACAGGGACAGGTGCAGGTACAAGTGCAGGTACAGGTGCAGGTACAGGGACAGGTGCAGGTACAAGTGCAGGTACAGGTGCAGGTACAGGGACAGGTGCAGGGTGCAGGTGCAGGTGAGGTGCAGGTGCAGGTACAGGACAGGTGCAGGTACGGAGTGCAGGTACAGGCCAGGTGCAGGTACAAGTGCAGGTACAGGTGCAGGTACAGGGACAGGTGCAGGTAGTGCAGGTACAGGTGCAGGTGCAGGTGCAGGCACAGGCAGGTGTGCACAGGTACAGGTGCAGGTGCAGGTGCAGGTACAAGGGTACAGGTATAGTGCAGGTACAGGTGCAGGTGCAGGGACAGGTACAGGGTGCAGGTACAGGTGCAGGTACAGGTGCAGGTACAGGTGCAGGGTACAGCAGGCAGGTGCAGTATAGTGCAGGTACAGGTGCAGGTACAGGTACAGGAGGTAGGTACACACAGGTGCAGGTACAGGCAGGTGCACAGGTACAGGTGTACAGGTGCAGGTACAGGTGCAGGTGCAGGTACAGGTGCAGGGTGGTGCAGGTGGTGCAGGTACAGGTGCAGGCACCAGGTACACAGGTACAGGTGCAGGTACAGGTACAGGTAGGCAGGTGCAGGCAGGTGGGGGTGCAGGCAGGTACAGGCAGGAGGGTGCAGGTACAGGTGCAGGTGCAGGTACAGGTGCAGGTACAGGTACAGGTGCAGGTGCAGGTGTAGTGCAGGTACAGGTACAGGCAGGTACAGGTACAGGTGCAGGTACAGGTGCAGTGCAGGTACAGGTACAGGTGCAGGTACAGGTGCAGGTACAGGTACAGGTGCAGGTATGGGTGCAGGTGCAGGTGCAGGTGACAGGTACAGGACAGGTACAAGTGCAGGTACAGGTACAGGTGCAGGAGTGCAGGTACAGGTGGCGGTACAGGGACAGGCAGGTGGCGGTACAGGTACAGGTAGAGGTGCAGGTACAAGTGCAGGTGCAGGTACAGGTACAGGTAGAGGTGCAGGTGCAGAGTGTACAGGTGCAGTGTAGGTGCAGGTAGGTACAGGTACAGGTGCAGGGGTACAGGTGCAGGTACAGGTACAGGTGCAGGGTGCAGGGTACAGGT